ATAGGGAAAGAATCAGAATTGGAATCTCCTTGATCCAAAACTTGATAATTGAACCAAATCCCTCCTTTTATGTCCTTGTCTGATAATCAAAGACTAATTTCTAGAGCTCAGATGCCTAAATTTGAGGAATTAATATCTATCATCCCAACATATGCTCTTTTACACACATCTAATGAACTACTAGGGTCTCCCTAGTGATACTTGGGGCAGTATACATAGTTCTAAGTTTGAACCCTGTTGCCATCACCAGATTCCATACGAATCAAAAAAAATACACACCTTATTCTTAACAAAGGTTTCTTAATTACAATCACTATTACAAACAAATCAAAATTGAAACCAAAAGAAACAAGAAAAAAAACTATATTGACAACAGTGGTTACCAGAAAGCAGTGACAGAAGGGAAATCACTAGTGGAGGCCATGATAGAGAGAGCAGCAGCAGCGAAAACAAGCTGAGAAATACGCAGAGAAAGGCCACCGGCAGTGCCGGGCATGCCTTGAATATCCTTCATCCTCACCCTCGGAGCGTTAACGTTTTGGTCAGCACCACCACCTTCAGTCGTTGGAACTTCTTCAACTGGGTGAACCGAAGCATGGCTCACGTTCATGTCTCCTCTCAACAATTCAATTCATCATCATCACACTTTCCTCTTCACCAAATCTGATCACACCCATCAAACATCGTCAATAACCCCATTCTCGCCTGTGATCTAAGCCTCCATGGGAATTTTATATAAAAAAATATAATCGAAAGAAAGCACGAAAAATGCTGACTTTTTTTTTTTATTTTTAATTTTTGATGGGGAGGTGAAATTGACTTCGGTGGATTGAAAAAGCGATTGCCCTTTAATTTGTTTCCTCAAAAGACTGTGAATTTAAACTCGGAAGCAGGAAAAGTGAACAGAATCGATTGAGGGTATGAAGAAAAAGTGACGTACCCAGAAGAATTTTGCAGTGTTAATGGGTTTGATCGTTGGAAGTGGGATCTGCGATGGAAGTAAGGAAAAGGGAAATAGACAAGAAGAGTGGCTGCAGAGCGCAGTCGTTGAATGAATCTTCGTGTACGCCTCAGTTGTGGAGTTGTCGTTGTTTTTGTTTGGTGCACCAGCTGAGCCACTTAAATGGCAAGAGGAACCATCTTCACATTTTATAATCCTTCTATTTTCTTTTATTCGATTGGGATTTTATTTTGTGTAACATCACATCGATTTTAATTTTATTTTTAGGTTTTTAATATCAGATAAATTATTTTACTTCACCGAATATTAAAAATTATTAGGCTTAATAATGTTTCTTTTGGTACATATGTAGGCTTAATAATGTTTTAAGTTACTGTGTAATACATGTTTGATTTAGCATGTATTTTGGTTATTATTCGCATCACGTTGTACTTAAAAAAAATGATTAATTTATATACAGGAAATCATTATTTTTTTAATAGTGTTTCTTGTCACGACGTTGTCTCAAACTACCATTAACTTCTTGAAAACACAATAATTTTATTTATTTTTTTACAGCAAGTATACATTTATTTTGTTCACGTATATATTGTATATTCTTGACTTGGTCTTTATATTTAAAAAACTATTAAATTATTTTCTATTAATAATGTGATAGTAATAAGTAGGTTTAAATACCTCTTTTCGTCCTGATAACAATTTTTTGTTTCAATTTAGTCCCACTTTAATTTTAGGTCTCAATTTGTTCCTCAATAATTTAAATCATTGCAATTTGGGACTTCTGTCTAAATGATTTAAACGGAGTTAACTGGTGGCCACGTGAATGTCAGGTGGATGCCACGTAGGTGGATCCCAAAATAGTTGAAGACACTTGGAGCCAGAACGGCCCGTTCTGAAACCAAAACGGTCCGTTCTGGTTACATTATTGGTGTGTAATTTTTGTACCTGGAACGGGCCGTTCCAGGTGCAAATTTAACACATCAATAGTATAACCAGAACGGGCCGTTCTGGTTCCAGAATTTCATTCACAAAAAAACTACTGTACAAAACATTTCAAACACTAGATTTGGTAATATTGTTAATGGGGATTGATAACTTCAATTGCTAAACATTTGGACTATACAGTATATCATTAAGGATGATGCAGTGTATCACTAAGGACAATGGTAACAAGTTTTATTTCATTGTTAGTCAAACTAGAGTGAAATAATTTCTTTGAACTTTTTTAATATATGTTATGTTCTGAATTTTTGTTTTCAGTTTCTGAACCATGTTTCTGTCTTTGAATTTATGATATATTATGGATTTTTATTTTTAAATTTTGAATCACATTGCGGCATTTTAGTTAAGATTTTGAACTGTATAAGTTCAAATCAAAGAAGAATTTTGGAAAGTCTTATCTTATTTGATTTTTTTTTAGTTTTATTCATAAATGAATATTAATTTATTGTATTTTTTGTTTATTACATTTTTATTAATATAGATATAATAAAAAAATATAATAAAAGCATGAAGTTAGCGTTCTGGAACGGGTCGTTCTGAATTCAGAACGGTCCGTTCTAAAAGCATAACGACCCGTGTTGAATTCAGAACGGCCCGTTCTAATAGCAGAACGGCTCGTTCTAGTTTCAGAACGGCCCGATCTGCTGCACTCATGTTGTGTTAAATTTGCATTTGGAACGGCCCGCTCCATTTGCAAAATTAACACATAACCTGTGCATGCAGAACGGACCGTTCTGGTTTCAGAACGGACCGTTCTGGTTTCAGAACGGCCCGTTCTGGTTCCAGGTGTATTCATGACATTTGGCATCCACTTATGCATCTACGTGACATCCACCTGACATCCACGTTAGCAAGAGTTAATCCCGTTTAAATCATTTGGACGGAAGTCCCAAATTGCAATGATTTAAATTATTGGGGACCAAATTGAGACCTAAAATTAAAATGGGATTAAATTGAAACAAAAAATTGTTATCAGGGACGAAAAGAGGTATTTAACCTAATAAGTATAAACCTTAGGTGTGTGAGACCTGTTTTCCCTCCTTCCTCTCAACACTTCTCTTTTCCCTTATCTTCCTTCACTCCCATTCTCTTCTCACTCTCTTCTTCTTCCTTGGTCTCAAAAGGTGCTGAGTAGAGGCTAACTGAGTGCTCCGAGTTGGCTTCTCCCTTCTCCGTTTCTCTCCTTCTTCCTTTCCACTTCCTTGGAGCTCGAATTCTTCTTCTCCGAAGTAAGGGAAGCTAGATTTCGTGCAGATTGTTTGGAACTGAGTTTAGAAACTCAGATGTTGCTTGATTTTTGGAGAATGACGGTCTGATTTGAAGTATTGTGCATTTTTGGGGTTTCGGGAAAATTGAGGAAATTGGGATTTTTATGCGGTTGATGATTGCATGTTGAAAAAGAGTTGATTTTTGAGTTGTATGCTGAAAATGTGGTTCATTTGATGGATTGCATGTGTTTGAGCTGACTGATTTTGCAGGTTTTGGGTGAAATTTTTGAAGTTATGAGGGTTGCTGTTTGAAATTGCACCGGGCGTAGTTCTTGGCGTCGAGCGTGTATCCATCAGAGAACTCCATTGTTCAAGCACGTCAGGCGCAAGGTTGGTTGCGCCGGGCGAGCTTAAGAATGGAAGTCCTTGGATGGCTCACGCCGGGCGTGAGAGAACCGCGCTGGGCGTGATACCAGATAGAGACTCAAGGAGTTGAGTTACTGGTATGGCGTCGGGCGTGATTAGATCTCGCTGGGCATCGAGACTCCATGGGGGTCTCTGCCTTCTATGGCGTCAGGCGCAGAATGAGCGCGTCGGGCATGAGACCTTTGCGAGGTCTGTGCCTTACTTGCGTCGAGCGTGAGTTTGGTATGTCGGGCTTGGGAGACTCCTGGGAGTCTCTGCCTTCTATTGTGCCGGGCGCATAAGAGCTTTAGAGCTCTCGGGTTAGGTCCAGGCCGGGCGCAAATTCTATTGTGTCGGGCGCTGATGTGTCTTTCTCTATAACTATGAAAATGTTGTATGTTGTATGAGTTGTTTAAGCTGAAATGATGAGTTGTTGATCACTAAGACTAGAGGAGATGTTTTTCGAAGATGTTCATCCCATTGTGTGGATTGAGGAAGTTGTGGTGCTCTTAGAGTCCAATTTGTTAAAAACCCTCCTTGGAAAGTTGTCCATTAGAGTGGTCATTGTGTTGTTCTCCTCTAGTACTTAGTTGGTCCCGTGTGTGGGCAAGGTCGAAGTACACGTGTACAAAGCGACCACAGTATAGGAGCCAGGTCGAGCTATACCGATTACAAGCGGCCAATCGAGTAAAGTACGAAGTCGGGAACTTAGTTCCTAACTGAGTATCGGAAGGTTGAGGTATTTGGAGGATAGTTGGTAGGCCAATTCCATAGGGGGCTTAGTTAAGCTAGCTAATGTTGTGGTAGGCCTAAAACCCAGTTGTTTTATCCTGACATAGTACCATACTTCCTTGTTTAAGTAGCAAAGTCTGAGAAATCATAAAGTTGTGGATTGATATCCAAATTGTTGTTTACCTAGGAAACCCAAAAAGGTTCTTTGTTGTCGGTTCTGTAGGACTTAGCCACTTAAGCTGCTCACCCATGTTGTAAGAGATCTCCGAGTTGAAATGCGTGATGATGCATAAGCTGTTTGATGTTGATTTTGCTGAATGATATGAGCTGTATGTGTGCAGTGTGTTGTGAAGCTGAGATGTAGATGTATGCTGTTATGTGTTGTATGTTAACTTTGTTGAAATTAATGATGTGCTGTTAATTTGAAGTTGTTTAAAATTTAATTATATGCTGATTTTTTTCACTAGCTTACCCTTGCTTGTTTCCATGTGGGTTGGACTGCAATGATCATACTATGTATGGGAGTAGAGCAGGGATAGGCCAGAGTGTAGTAGCAGGACTGCAGTTGGCAGCTGGAGCTGATTTTGTTGTTTATGGGCTACTTGGTGTAGTTATTTTGGTAGTTTTGTATATTGACTTGTTGAGTTTCAGGCTAGACTTATGTATATATAATTACTCTTTTATATGCATACTCTATTCTGTGTGGTGATGTTTGTTGTGCGACGGCTAAGCGGGTCGTTACAAGGTGGTTGTTAACGTGCAAAAAAATATTATTAAAATCATTTTTTCTAGGTACAACCTTATTCATTTAATTCTTATACTGTTATGTCACTTTGGATTTTTATTTTTTTTTAATGAGAACCGTTAATCTCTTGCATGGAATTTCACCACGTCCTTCTCCTTCAATGGGTCTTCTCTTCCCCATCTAATCTTTAGTCAGCCATCATAATTAATTTTAATAGATTAAGTGTTTGATTTAAATTATTTTTAAAGAAAAAAAAAGTATTTTAAAGTAACACATACTAGATAAAATAAGTGTTCGGCTGTTGTTGTTTTGTAAGTTACAACCACATAATGTGCAAGAAGAAAAAAAACTGTATTTAAGTATATAAAGTTAAGAATGTCTCATTTGACTGACTAAAATAACAATTTGTTATATGAAAAGATAAATAAATAAACTTAGCCAACACGAGTAAATTATGCCACACGTCAGCGTGACTAAAAAAATTGAATAAAAAAATAAAGCTACTAACAGGAAGAATGATTTGGAGTTTGAGGATGTTTTGATTCACTGATTGGATAACTAAAGATAATAAATTACTTCATTTTTTTATGTGCAGTTTTCTTCTATAATTGTATAAATATTGTTTTAAAAGTTAAAATATTTTATTGTGTAGATATGTGTTGTGTTATTTCAATAGTCTAATTATTGAAAATCTTTCTTGAATACGGTTGTCTGTGTTGAGTCTTCTCTAAATTTTTAGTTGATATTGTATGGAGGTTATGTCAAACCATACTAGTTTGAAAGTGACTAAATTGAGTAAGGTATAAAGTCGAAAGATAAAATTTTTAATTGATTATTGAAAAGATGCATGATATCACAATGATAGTTAGTGAGTTGTTCTCATAGGTGACTTGGTTAATGCATGTCAATGTTGTGGCAAACTCATACCCAAACTATGTTATACCTGATAACGGATACTAAATTTTCCTAATTTAAGTGGAGAAGATTGAGAAATCATGTTGTGTTGTTAATTGATATCCAGATTTATTGTTGTTCTAATAAACAAAAAAAAAATTCTATTATTAAGTTGATTTGATAAGGTCAAATCACTTAGACTATTTATCTGTGT